GTAATGGATTTAAGATCAAGCTCATCACTAATAAGTCTTGCTCTCTTGGATGTCCCAGGTTTCATATGCTGTCACAGTCTTGATGATTGTAGTCTCCAGTAGCCCTAAAATTCATATAGCACTTTGCTAGAAATGTGAGAGTCACTGATTTAACAAGCCATTTCTACTTGAAAAATCCTCCAAATCTATTTCCATTTCACCGAGCGAAAATTTCTAGATTTCACAAATAGGGTTAGGGAGTAAAATTGAAGTGCAGAAAACCAGTGGATAGAGAGTGAGAGATTGGGAGGGAGAGAGAGACTGGGGGTGAGAGAGAGAGATTGGGAGAGAGCCATCACTAATGCTGACTGACGGAAACACTCAGTTACTGCTGTGACTGCACACAGCACCGATATCCAGATGTAGGGAACTGGCTGAGGCAGAATAGCACAGATCCACCGATTATCTCAATGCCTAATTGTGCTTCATTTGGTGAATTACCTAAAGACAAGAGAGAACCAAGCTTCCTGCTCCTATTATCTCACTCCAAGAAACCAGCACTATGCAGCTATATCCACAATGCAGCCCTTCATTTTGGGAACAAACTACCAAAAACTTAGGGATAGTGCAAACCCAGAATGTCACAAGCCAGACAGTTCCCCTCAGATCCCTGGGGGCCGGCTGTTGTACCCATGCGAAATCTGATGATTTTGTGATTTCAGTGTCTCCCGTGCAGAATTCAGAGAATCCTCAGCAAGATCACACCAAAGCAGAATAAACCTGAGTTCTCTAAGCTGCGTCCTCGGCTGTTAGGGAATTGCAGTCTTATTACGTGTTTCTGGCGCATTGCTGTATCTGTGCCGTATGGGTGTAATCGGAAGCCTGGAATTGCTCGGGAAGTTGCAGAAGGAGCGCGTGAGAGCCACTGCAGAGAAGCCTGGGAAGGCACACTGTCAGATGGGCGAGAATAGCGGCCATACCTGCTGGGGATGCAACAGACAGATCAACACACAAATAAGTTTATGTGGAATTGTTTAGACTGGCAGAAATGACACACACACACACACGCTAATGAGTTCCTGTTCTGGCATCGCCATCCGGAATTTTATCGCATTAAATGGCCGAACTATTTCAGTCAGTTATAATCTGCAGTGGGATATTTGTAGCCCAGAAGCAATAAATTTTAATGTATTCTATCCTACACAGTAAAGTACATAACATCCACAAAGGCAGTTATCTTCAAAATCATTCAACAGCGGCTGAGATTCCGGTAAATGACACAATGATTTCTCTGTCGTACAGCAGCCTGAATGGCCATCCCGGGAAGTGAAGCAGGGTCCTGTGTTTGTTCAGAGCGCCTGCGTCGTTTCTCAAAGCAGTATTCACTTACGGATCCGGTTTGCTCCCCAGTAAGGTGGCCGCGAGTCAAATCAGTCTCTTCCTTAAAGGGGCAGCACTGCAGTCTATCAACTGCCCCAAAATGTCAATCACAACACAGACCCGCAGAAAGACAAGCAGACACAAATGACACAGTGGAAGACAGAGGGAGTAGTTTAGGGTCAGTGTGTCATTAGAACAAGGTGAATATTGGAAACAGTTGGATGACATTTAACCAGGAAAGCCAGACACATCAAACCAAAAACAACTATCATGCCTGGGAACGATAAAAACGTCTCACTTAGCGATGCAACATGTCGAATTAGATCGATTGCCATTTATATAGCAACACACACACACACACACACACACAGAGTCTGCCGGTCTGCATTTTGATTGACGCAGTCTGGATTAATAAATAGTCATTAATAATCCAGACAAGGACACACACAGATACTAGAGACCGATTCTCCAAGGTTACGTACAGCATGTACATGATCAGGGCAGGTGATGATCACCCCCCCCCCCCGACACACACAGGAGGGACTTGAGGTGTCCATTAATTGATCACAAAATGTGTGTAACTGTTCCCATCTTTGCTGCAGGAAGGCGACATAAGCCCAGCATCGAGGGAAGAATTGTGTGAATGATAAGGACATTCTGGAGTGCGAAGACACAGAGGGGTTTAATGGGAACCATCGCTGGCTCCCCTCGCCCCAGGAGTGACCTTTTACAGCCCCCGCGACAGGCGTCCCTAAAGATCTCCCAGGACTCTTTTCATACGTCAAATAACAGTAGGGTCCCTCTGTGGGTCCCTTCTCACAGCGGACATCTGACTAGAAATGGGCGATCCACATTTTTTCAGTTTCGATCCGATTCCGATACACAACTACCGATACGATACAGATTCCCATACAAGAGCTCTTTTTACTTTGTTATACTTTATATATTATTTTTTTTAAGCTAGTAAATACAGATGGAAAAAATGTATGACAAAAAAAACATTTAATTAGGCTACTACAAACATACAAACATTAATAAACGTATTGTTCCACCTCGTTTGTTTTAAGCGTTTTTGAGGCATTTGCAGTTCAATATGAATATCTTCAAAGCAAGTATACACAAGTGGCGAATGCTTAAAATTTGAACACAGTTTTTTCTCCCATTGGCGTCAGCGCAGTTACACTTTTGTTGCGATGGCAGCCCCTCTTGTATCACAAGCTGCAGCGAGTTCGCAAAACAGTCCAATTACGTTAGCGACTCCCAAATCATCCATTGCTTTGTTTTGTCTCGCAGTTGCGTGCGCTTTGTTAAATGGGATTGTCCATTAAACGCTATTCCCACCTCAAAACTTTATTTTACATAGATTGCAAATTGTTGTGCTACTGGTTTCTGTTAAAAGCGTAAAATACTCCCAGATCGTCACGTCTTATCTTACGCTCCTCGTACTGCGAAGGGTATGCGCATGACGTCACAGCAGGCGGAAGTCACTGTACTCACACCCACTGTAGCAAAAAAGACTGAGGGGCAGCGAAAGCGTTCGATTCGAATGCCGCAAAAAAAAATGTAAAATGGGAAAGCGCTGTCGTGCGATTGATTGCCAAAAACTAAATAAGTAAGTATAGGACGTGGATCGGTCACGCATGGCCGATATCCGATCCGTCAAATAGGTCTGGATCGGCGCCGATACCGATCCGAATATCGGTATCGGTGCATCTCTACATCTTACTATCCAAAGCAATTAAGAACACTTTCAAACACAGCCTCAGAAAATGCACGCCTCATGCTGCTCGATCGATTTCGGCAGAGATGTATTACTTACAGCAAACACGTTATATTATTATATTATTCCAACAGCGAGTCACAGACTTCAGCAGTGGCAGTCTGTGGGGAATCCCGGCCACGGCCGGCAGCTCCACATGATTAGATGAAAGCCCTACCCTGCTGATGGAGGTGCGTGGGCAGTGTGGCATGAGTCGCCCTGACTGAGGTGGCCCAGGAGCATCACAGGTGTCCAGCTTTGCAGGACCGACCATGTTTCTTCACTCCCCTGCCGAGCATCAAGCCCCTCCCTCTCAGAATTCGGTTTCCCTTGGTTACGGGGGGCTGGGGGTCCCATTACAGGTTGGCAACAGTCAAGTTTGGTTTTAAAAATGATGGAAAATCTGTTCACTCAAGGACACGGTAATGAGAAGACGTCAGCGTATTGAGGATTGGGGGGGGTCGAAGCCCTCTCATCTCAGACCCCTGGGGTAAGTTCCTACTAATGGCGTTCAACAGTAACTAACAGTAACCTCAACCCCCAATGGTGTAACAGAGTGTTTGATATTGGGGCAGACTTAATATTTTAAATGAAAAGGTCTATTTATGGGGGGGGGGGGGGGGAAATGAACCCAAATACTGGGCGATGCAGGCCCCCCCACCCCCCAGTTCTTACGCCCCTGGCCACCTCTCATCCCTAATAACAACTTCACATCTTTTCAGCTTTAGTACCTTCATGGAAACGCCCAAGTTCTGCTCTTCATGCTCGTGATGTTCCTGTATAAAATTGCAGCTTAGATGTGATATGAAGAGAATGTTGGACAAGACTGTGGTCAGACGGTTACACGTATCACGGCTTCACAGGGTGTCAGGGACTCAACACGGCGTGTCCGCACGGGGTGGACGGCTCAGTCCGCATCAGGGCCACGGAGACGAGGAGCATGTAACCACAGAAACCACAGCAACATCTTCCGGATGAACCAGCCAGGGCAAAACGGCTCAACTGAAATGCCCATATCCCTTTATCCCCCTTTAAACTGGGATCCCACAGCAGACTCCACCCAAGAGGAGGATCGACACCCCCCTACCAAACATCCATCAGCACAGTAAATGATCCGCTTGCAGTTCAGATGAAAGCACTCCACTCTTCACTCTTGCTCGAATTCTTTATGTGCTGATGAGGTGTTCCTGGTTATCCCGGCCCATCCTCTATCCGGCCATATAAGGAGCCAATTGCCAGTCCTCCGTAAGTCATAAATGCGATAGCATACACTGCTACACACAGCCCTTAATGGGTAGCTTACGCTGCAAATGGCTGCTCCATGCTAGCACTGAGCAATTCACTTTCCCTCTGTATTTACCCTAAGAACACTGATGAACTGCATACTATCACACTGCAAGACCGGCCTTTGTTTGTTAGGAAAATTCCCCCCCCGCACCCCATTTCCGGCAGCTTTATGCACTCAGAGCACAGAGGTCGCTCTCCGTATGTCACTGTCACAGGCACAGTGAGAGGTGACACACAACTCGAGCTATTAAAATAAAACATGAAGCTTCCACCTTTAATATCTTGCAGCGAGGAGCGCTAACCAGAGGGTAAATCATCAAGGAGACGGCAGGAGATAAGGAGCACAGATATCCACGGAATTGGGCGGAATAGTGAGGAATAGTGCGCAATCGTGCATACCTCCAACCAGGCAGGCTCAGCGTAACAGGAATCCATTTACAGCCAAAGTGAAACATTGCCGTCTGTTTGCTTTTCCTAATATATAAAATTATGTCTCTCTTTCAGATCCGTAATGCCATTCCTGTCTATTAATGTAGCATAAATTTTTTTAATGGGACAGAATAAGAAAAAGGAAGATAAAGTTACATGGACTCACATGTAGCGCAGGTGGGGGTTCTGAGCGAAGGCGCGCGATTGGATCACTCGGAGGTTGCAGTTCATGATGGTTCTGAAAAAAGGGAGAGATGTGGGATTAGACAACGGTTCTCCTGACTACCTCTGAAGCTGAGGGATCCTGCGGGGGAGGGAGGGGGCTCTGTCCCCAGCTATAATGGCCGCTTATTAACTTCAAACCAATGTCCAACCTTGTCCTGGTTCCAGAATAATGCCTGGAGAAAGCATCCTTAAAAAAATAGCAGGAATTCACAGAGGAAAACCAAGATGTGCGTGTGCTGCAAGCAGACATTTACATCCCACAGGGCAAACTGCATTATGACCAGCCTAATAACAGCATCCGATAAAGACCTTATATAATGTCAGGCATGCACACCGACAGCTCAGCTGAGGAAATATAGCAGGTGGAGTCGAGTCATTTACTTTTTGTAGTTTGAAAAAAATTGGACGGAGCAGATCTGGCAGTCAGATAATAAATTAGCCGGCTAGCAGCAATATCCGGGAGTGTAAAAACACTGTGCAGTGATCTAAGCTGTCCCTGCCCAGCAAATATTATTAGGGGGAGATTATTATGAAAACCAGCTTCATTCTGTCTTTATTTACACGGATGGTAGGATCGGTAGTGTGCAAAAACCACGTTATTCACAACAGGCAGCGAGGAGGCTCAGCGACGGGCTGACTCACGCCTCCAGGGCAGCAGGTTCGAGCCCCGCCTACAGGACAATACACATGTGCGTTGTGCATGCTCTCTCTGTGTCCCCCGTGCCTCCCGCCACAGTTAGCTCTAGCTAACTGCTCACCCCCAGTTAGACCTACAGTGTGAGGTGCAGAGCTGGGTGGGGATCAGTGCCATTGGCTTTGGATGAACTGAACTGTCAGTGTCACTCTAGCTTCACACTCCCTGGTGGAATTGGAGTGCTGACGTCCAGGGCCTCACCATGCCTGCGTTCCCACCTGCCTCTCCCCCCTAAAGGAAGGCCACAGCCTTATCTGCTGGAGCTTACACACTGCACTCACCTAACTGTATGCACTGCCTCTAGTCCCCCCTACTTTGGCTAATGCACTTTTCATTTCCCCCACCTCTCCTGGGTACCGTGCTGCCTGTGACGCCTCTCCTACATGTGACGTCCGCCTGGCCTGGCTGCCCTTTGTCGCTGTGACGTCTCTCCTTCCTACCCTGCTGCTGTACCACTGTTCATCCTGCCATCAGAAGCAGCACCAGCACCTGCCTGCCATCACCTGCCTGCCCCCCCACATTGAGACTCAAATCATAAAATCTGGACAGCGCAAATTACGATTTTGCTATGTTGTTAATTTGATTTCCTCCACTGCGCCCTGGAGGATGGGCTCCCCCTTTGAGTCTGGTTCCTCCCAAAGTTTCTTCCTTCCAGGGAGCTTCTCCTTGCCACTGTCGCCTCTGGCTTGCTCACTGGGGGCTTTGGGCAGTGATAATGAGAAGTGCTTTGGAACAATGTAAGGTTGTGAAAATGCGCTATACAAATAACTGAATTGAAAGTAGAATTGGATTTGATCATAACTATAATTAGGAGTTGACAGATTAGACGGTTAGGATGGATTCATCAACAAATGTTCCAGACTCCAGAATACTGCCCCAAAGTACTTTTCCAGTCCTGTCATTTATGAAAGGTCATTATTAAGGGAAAAGCTTTACGTTTTTAAAATCGGTTACAGGGAAGCTACAGGGAGCTTGAGAGAGACGCAGAGTCCTGTGTGAGACCTGATCCACATCTGCATATGAAACGTCCTAAGCTGAATATTCAGATGGTGGCTGGAGGAGGGATTCATTCGCCTCTGTGCCGCTGACCTTCAGAGACGCAGTCGCTCCGTCGAGACGTCTCGAGGCACGGGTGGGGGGGGGGAGGGCAGGTGAGACCGATGTTAATGGGAAAAATGCTAATTCTGCTGACGCCTGGCCCCCCAGATGGCGGCTTGAGGAAGCGGCGGGCCGGCCCGCAGCTCAAGGCCCCGTTCAGGAGACAGCCGGCTCTAGCGGGGAAGATGGCAGGTGGGGGGCGGTGTCAGGAAGGGGAGCCGGCGGGGAGGGCGGGGGGGGGGGGGGGGCTCATCACAACACGCTAATCTGAGCCGGAGGGGGGCGTAACTACATTTCCTGCCTGCATTTTAGGTGTCATTTGATTGCCGTTAAATGGCCGCATGGGGCCCCCGCTTGCACGTGCTGTGAGGGAATTAAAAGCTTGCCCGTGATTGGTGGACAGCCATCAGGCCATCAGTAGGGGATAATAATGTCCCACCTGAAAGTCTAATGCTGATGCTGGACATTCTGGGCCAGGCCTGCCTGTCTACCTTAATCTGCTGCCCTCCCCAGAGCATAGCGCCTCCTACGTCAGAAAGCCAGACATGGCCACCCGTTCTGGATACTCACAGCCTCTGAAGCCCGGTGTACAGTTCCATGTCGACGTCCTTCAGCGTCTGAAGCTCTGTCCAGTTCTCTATGTGTCTGTAACAAGATTGGAAATGGAGAGTCAGACAACAGGACGGCACAGAAAAAAATAAACCCGAGTTGGGTTCAACTTCAGATAATTTATTTTTCTAAATATGCCAAACGATAATAACTGATGGTCAGTTATTTCACAGCTGTCCATCTACTGCTATACGCTCGAGTGGTTAAACTCCGAAAGAACCGACATGCGGACCTTTTCAGGTCACACTAATGTAGCGCTCACCGCCCCCCCGTGACACAGCATCATAAATACAAACATAATACAAAGCTATACGGTTTGTACCTAGAGTTATCTTCATTTATTGTGCTGATCACTGGTGTACATCCATGAAATGAACTGCGATTCGGTCCTGGACTTTTGGGTCCCCCACGCACCCTGGAAAAATTTTGCCGACAGGGGGATTTCCCGCGATGAAGGGGGAGGGGGGGTGGTTCCTTGATAACTTTTCTCGAGCGGAACATTTTCCCGACCCACATACCCGTCGGCCCACCAGCAGAAAATGCCTGCTACGCCAGATGGCCGTCCAGCCTTGCAGGGAGCGGAGGATGTGGCTCGAAGTTTTCTGGATATTTCCTTTATTTACGTATGCATTGAATTCTCTGGAATCTAACTTTTAAATACGTTGATTATGGAGGAATCCTAGAAGATTATCAACTTCCACCTGTACCCCATCCGCTCACTTCGTGCTGCGAACCAGTCGTAGGAAAGGTGATTTATAGCTAAAGGTTGTTATTATGGTTGATAGGCGGAGCTGACAGCCGTGGTAAATGTAGTAGGAGCGGGAGGTAAATCAGCTGTACGTGCGTCTCTCTGCGCGCTGCCGTGCGCGTCCCCGCCGCTGAACCGCGACAGCGCTGGACCGTGAACGCAGTTAATGCTGCGCAGATTTACGAGGCGCTCTGATCTTCCGTGGTCACCCGGAAAATCAGGCGGTTTTCATATGGTACGCCGTGCAGCTCATCCTAGGGAACATCACAGACGTGAAACTTTTGGGAATTACTTTAGATGTTTATATCTGCTGACAGACTAAACGGGGAGCTCCGGCAACGCGATTTATTTCTTCTCTTTGAACTGGGATGAGTATTGGGAAGCGAATGCAACATAAACTCCGAGACATGCGCGAATAAATGGTTTCATCCCGTCTCTGAGCGTTGGTGCGGTGCCCTCTTAGTATCTGAGGTCTCGGCATCTATTACTTCTATAAAGGAAATGGAAAAAGCTTGTGTGTCTGAAACACACACCGAACTGAAAGTGTTATGGGTGTAGTACATTTAATCTGTTATCGTTATCAGAGACCCTATAATGGACAAACAGTTATGGAAGATGGAGTTGCCACTTTTCGGGACGATGCCTAACGGTGAACTTTCCACACTGATTGGACAACTGATGCACATCCCAATGTATCATCATCATCATTAACCTTTGTAATTGCTCGCAATCCCCAGATATTTCAGTTCCATACGCAGTAACGATGCCGGAAGCATCTGGAAAATGAGGTTCGCGATGTGCAACAAGCAGAAGAAACAGTGTTCCACCGCTTCTGTATAAATCAATACCCACTGAAATTAAAATGAAACCGAATAAAATTCTAATTGATTGCCGAGTTCAGCCCAGACTTCACACGTAAATTTCTCTTGGGATTAATTGGCCAATAGACTAAATGACCAGTTGATCAATTGACCATCTAAGTGGCCAGTAATGGGAAGGCAGGACTCGGGGGAGTGCGTGATGCCGGAGAAGCAGCACTCGTCACGGCGTGTCGCAGGGCTGCCAACTCTCACGCATTAGGCGTGACGCTCACGCTCCCAGACGCTCACGCAAAACATCATACGGCAAATTTGTATTATTCCATTATGAACCTAAAATTAGCTACGTCAAAACCGCTGGGGTAGTTTGCAAACCCTACAGGCTATTTATAAGGGAATAAAAGTGTTACATCCATGTAGCTTCGTGTGCGGAACCCTGGTGTCCCCGTCCACCAGAAGGAAGACAGCCCAGACCAATAACCTCAACATGTTTATTGTTGCTTGTTACCAATCCGATCGCGTGACTATTAATAGATAATGCTTGCGACAGGCATAATGTACCGAGGGGGATAGCCCACCCCTGGCTGTCTGGCCACCCCATTGTGTAAAGCAGGGGTGCCCAACTCCAGTCCTGGAGCCCTGTGTAGCTTAGTTCTTTCCCTGTTCCACCATAAATGATTCAGCTCAAGAGCTGTGTGGTAATTAGCACAAGGAGTGTGTTTGTTAAATGAGGGGAAACCCAAAAATGTGCAGGGCTCTGGCCCCCCAGGACTGGAGTTGGGCACCCCTGGTGTAAGGTCTGTCTGTGCCCTTGCTCTTCTTTTCCTTAGGAAAGTTCGTCATCCCTAAATGTGGTATTTGTCACCAGGGGTTAAAAGACCACGTGTCTCATTCGGTGCAGTGGTTTTAAAAAAAATGGATGTACTGCATATGTATAGTTCTTAATTTTTTTTTTTTACCTTTAGCGACTAAATATTTTGTAGCTAATTTGGCCGCACTTAAATACAAGTCAAACACGCGCACAATAAATAATGCATGTTTATCGATCTCCTGGCCTTCAGCGGGACCTGGCCAAACACGTCCGTCATAAAGTCTGAGGCAGGGAGTCTGCAGCAGAACATGTTTGCTGAGCCGAAAGGGCGACGCCTTCCCAACGGGACGCAGCCGCCCCTAAATGGCGTAATCACTGGTGTTCAATCCTCTCGTGGACAACCGAGTCTCATCTCTAAACTGCGTGCAGTCCAGGTCCACCTGCTCCCGTTTAACTCAGTATAATTAAGGGTCTCAGGTTCAGTTTTCCACTAATGCCATTAGAGATTTGGTGTACCAAGCACTCCCCTCTCTTAATAGGTATTGCCAATGAATCACAGCCTTGTAAAACTGTATTTGGGCCAGACCAACAAATTACAACTTGTCTGGAGAGCAATCATGCCCTCCTCCCTGCAGGTAGCCAGGATTTGGTTTGTGACCTGTGTTGAATTTGGCTTCATTTTCAAGACCTCCACACAGCAGCAAGCTGCGTATGCCAGTTAAGGACATTTCCATTAACCAACTAAGCCGTTTCTCTTTCCAGCCAGGGTGAAAAATCAATCTGGTACTTATTGGGATGTGACAGCTTTTACAATAACCAAACTCTGTTCACATCTAAAGTCAAATTAAACAAAATTTCTATATATACATATTGCAAAACTCAGTATCTCTCACCAGTCATGGCTCTGAAAGCAGGAACAAACAAATGGTCCTTTGATGGATTTATTTATTATATAACCATCCATCCATCCATCCATCCATCCATCAATCTTTTAACCAGTTACAACCATCTTTTTGTCTGGGTCATGGGTCTGTGTAGTATATATTTTAATGGATGTTAGGTCATTTTTTGAAAATTTATTTAATATATAACTGAAGTCAACCAAGAATCATACACAAATCCTGTCAGTCAGTCTATCTGGAATGATCTGCAGCCATGCTAACTAATAAAATGCAGGTTTTGTCTTTGGAGTGTGATACTGGAAGGCAGGGCGCCCCCTGCTGCTCCTATGTTGTGTTCATGCTCAGAGCATGACAGAAGGCAGCTTGATGGAGCAGATTCATTTAGAAGGACATGCAACACGGAGCAGGACTGCCGGGGCCGGAGACTTTCTGTGAGGGATGTGGAGACCCAGGCGGGGGGGTGGATTGCCCCAGCAGTAAATTTACTCAGTCCCCAGTCATCAGCATATCCCTCCTGCAAGCAAGGTGTCTCTCTGAGAGCTCAAAAAACCTGAAAAACAATCACTGTTCAGGTCTCAGAGTAGATAATGACCTTGACAAAACCTAAGGACATCAAAAGTCCATATTTTCCCTTAGGTTCCACCTTATATTCATTTCCGTTTTGATGTATCGTCATGGCGGAGTGGACACATAATTTTCATTGAGAAGTTGCTTTAACTGACCATACATATTAGGAAGCAAATGTCAAGGTTTAAAAGTCAATATGTGGTCTGTGACCCACTGGCATCATCGGTAATGAGCTGAGTCTGTCTAAGAGACTGACCTGAATGTTCAGGTGAGAGCCCTTCACTGCCCATCAGGCTTTTATTTAACCTCACCCATCCGTAAAACCCCACTAAAATGGTCCCGACCCATTTCATACAGTCTGCTTCACTGCCAGTGAGGTTCTGCATTGCTGTCTCGTTTTCTGCCTCCGTCTTCAGAACAATGCCAGTGTCCGTGCCCTGATGCTGCTTCCCCGCACATACTGTGTGGGTTCTGTTTCACTGCCGGTGAGGTTCTGCTTCACAGGCTTAAGCATTTCCCTGTGGTCAGGACAAGATGTAGGCAGGGTGATGCCTCTGTGGGCCATGCTTCTGCGGCATTCTGGGTTTGAGTCCTGCCCTGACTCTGTTCGACGTCTCCTAATTGCCCTTACCATGTAAGTGTGCCCTGTGGAAGACCAGCATCCTGAATTCCCTTCCATGGATAAGAACTTATTGATAAATGATGGAAATTACGATGCTTCTTTCACCTATATCTATTTTGGTGGTACCTTGCATTTCGCAGGACTTTTATATTGTCTTCTGAAGAAGCACTTCCTCTTTAAGCTTCAGAATTAACAGGAAGTTCTCTGGTGTTCAAAAATGATCAATGAGTCTTGGGTTCCTAACCCTTGTACCATCTGCAGCTCACTCCTGAACACGCTAAAGCCTGGCCTGATGCCCTCTGCATGGAGTCGGCTCTGAAACCTTCCAGATCCACCTCTTTCAGCCCAAAACTGTTCACCCCATTTTGTTTTATCATAACTCTTCATACATTTTCCTGAAAACCCATTTGCTCTGATTATGACACGGTCGGCATGCTAGTTTTAACAGTCAACAGCAGTTTTAAAGTATGCATTGCTCTCGAGGTCTTTGTATCTTATCATGCAATAGCAGCACTTCTGGAATGATTACGTTGCTATTACAGCTACTCTGAATCATGAAGTAATGAAA